CTTTTCTTAATAGGTCAAGTTCTTATTTACGTTAAAAGTATGATATTTACAAATATCAAAGTTATCATGTTTTTTGAGAAATTATGAGAAACAAACAAAAAATGAAAAAGATAGGAATAGCAATGAATAGTGATGTGGGTATAGAAAATGTAAGAGATATGAATGCAAAAGCAATCAGTATTTAGGACATTGACCATAGATTTCGAAAAAAAAATGCTGCATATTGAGCGAAACTATGATTATATTATAGGGCTGTCCTTTAAAGGCATAATGAACCTATTCCCTTTTCATTTTAATCGAATAAGATAGTAAAGATTTTTGAATTAGCTAGAAACTGATGAGATGTTTTCCACAAATCAGATTTTTAATCTCTATAATGCATAATTCACTCAATATCTCAATTTTGAATTGCGAGATATTTTTGCTATCGGTTTCGCACTTTTGACACAATAGCAAGAGGGTTCTATAAGCATTATTATCAACGTAGAATCTGAATATCATATCAGAAAATGTCGCAAATCTGACATTTACCCGACAAAATAGCAAAAATAATTGAATACTTTTCGCAAAAACTTTAAAAATCGATAAAAATATGAAATATAGATATTAAGAGACTTTTTTTATATTAATATAAAAAAAAAAAAAAAAAAAAAGGTAGTGGGGCTTCCAGGCACTTCGTGCCTTCTAGCCCTGAAGATGTTTAGTATAAATGAAGTTTTTATTCGGAAAATTGTTAGTCTTCTTGGTCGAAAACATTATATAATGTTTCACTTTTCACAAATTTATTCCATGCGGTTCTCCTCGGAAAGAGCAAACTGTTCCATCTGCTTGCCGGATGTGAAAACGGTGTTCATCTTTGTGTCCGTCTCGGCAAAGTCGAAAGAGCATGTGTAAAGAGCAATCTTGACGTCGTCTTTGCGGCGGATGGTGCCAACAACTTCACGTGGAATAGCAAAGCCTTTGACAACAAACGAGTCTTGGATAGAACCACCAAGTGCTTTAGCGTAGCGGACGTTGTCGACGTTGAAGCGAAGATTGTGGTTTGGATATGCCATCAAACATGCTTCCGCAGCAATGTTTGAAAGGAAGTCAGCGTCTAAGTACTGGTGTGAGGAGAGTGGTGTCTTTAAGCAAGCAGCAACGGATGCTTTGTCGTCAACGTTGAATTTATTGCCAAGATCAAGTGTTGGAAGAATGCGAAGTGCTTCGGCAAGTGCTTTCTGGTAGCCTGCAACAATATCTTTTGTGTTGATACCGGCACGAACAAGCTCAGTAGCACGGCGAAGAAGCTCACCACCGAAAACTAAAACAAAGTTTGTGCCATCGCCAACTTGCTCAGCTTGCATCTGTGATGCGGTGACAAGCATCTTGGCGGCGGATGCTGGATTTCAGCCTCGTTCAAGATGGTGGCTGCATCACCAGTAACATAGAGTTTGCCAAAGTGGTTTTTGATAATTTTCTTCATACCGTTCGGACCAATCGACGTGCGTGTGAGTTCGCTTAAATCAACAACTGCGTCGATGTTCTGAAGGAGAACTTCATCTACACCGGAGAAATAGCGGGTGCCGTCCTTGAAAAAGCCATTAAATGATAACTTATTTGCTGCCATTTCAAATGTGGTCAGGTGATTTTAGAGATTTTCGTTTATTAATTTTTTTTTTGAAAATGGGAGGCATCACCTGAACACTCATTGGTTAAATGGCACATTCGATATGATATTACAGGTAATTTCTTTTTTAAAACTCATTTTTCTTTTGATATTTTCTAATTTCAAATTCTCTTATGTTTGTCCGCGCTATTTTGGCTCAATTTCTTATTATTATATAGATAGCATTAGGTTATTAGATTCTAAATCGGATGCTTAGATTCAATCATTCTAATTCTCACCTCACTCTTCATTCAATATTTTGCTTGATATCTCTATTTTTAGAGGCATTCGCGTTTTAGGTATAAAAAAGATAAAAAATGTAATTTCTGGTTATAATATATGTAAAATTCCTTAATTTTCTCTATCATTCTGTAAATTTTATGATTATATTAAAGAAATCTCATCATAACCTTTAATACTCTAGGAAATAAGATCAAATTCTGACTATACCTATTTATAACAAAGAAATAAAAATGAAAATGCATACAATAGCAGTATAGATATACAATGCCTGAAGAAAGATCAAATATGGTTACTGCGCATGCTAAATTCATGATAATGATTAATATTTCGCTTTTTGTCATGGCCGATACAAAACTTTACAAGAGGTCAATTTTTGTTCAGAAAAAATTGAGAGAGGGTCTACGGTTTTGGTCTCTCTCTTTTCCTGATGTCTGCAAAGCTCGTCAAGAATGCTGGCTACTTCTCACGTTTCCAAACAAAGTTCCGCAGGCGGCGTGAGGCTAAGACTGACTACGTCCAGCGTACTCAGCTCATCCAGCAAGACAAGACAAAGTATGGTGCTGCCAAGTACCGCCTTGTCGCTCGTATCACAAACACAAAGGTTATCGCTCAGATCGTTGTTGCCGAACTCACAGGTGATAAGACAGTCTGCCAGGCTCTCTCCACAGAACTTCCAAAGTACGGCATCAAGTCTTTCCAACTACCCAGCTGCTTATGCTACAGGTCTTCTTGTTGCTCGCCGCTTCCTCACACAGATGAAGCTCGCCGATGTCTTCAAGACAGAGATCACAGAGGAATACCTCAACGATGAAGAGAACAGACGCCCATTCAAGGTCATCCTCGATGTTGGTCTTGCTCGTACAACAACAGGCGCTAAGGTCTTCTCCGTCATGAAGGGTGCCGTCGATGGTGGCCTCTTCATCCCACACAACGTCTGCCGCCTCGCCTGCAAGTTCGACAAGAAGGACAAGGATGCTGGCAAGGACCGCAAGGACGTCCCAGCTGAAAAGATCGTTAAGGGCAACCAGTACTACATCCTTGGTGGCGCTGTTGCTGATTACATGCGCAAGCTTAAGAAGGAATCCGAAGAGAAGTATAACAAGCAATTCTCTCGTTATGTTAAGGCTGGTATTACTGCTGATTCATTAGAAAAGATTTATAAGGATGCTCATGCTGCCATTAGAAAGAACCCAGCTGCTACAGTTATTGCTGATAAGAAGAAACACGCTGAGGAGATGAAGCAGAAGCACGCTCCAAAGAAGCCACAGACAAAGAAGCTCTCCTTCGAAGAGAAGCGCAAGATCCTTAACGAACATCTTGCCGCTGCTGGACTTCCACCACGTAAGTAAAGTAGTTACTTAATTTGGTTTGGTTGTTGAATTAATTTAATAATTTTTTTTAATTTTTTTTATTCTTTCGTGAGTTAATTTGTTTTCATAAGTAAGTAGTTCTATCTTATTTGCTTCTCGATTTGAAATACGAGTTCTTTCATGATTATTCAAAATATTTAATTCGTTATATGAAAAATTTGCTTTGTTACTACTAAAATCCCATTCCTTTCCATAAAATGAAACGATCCAATGAATATATCCTTAATTGCCAATCTAATTTACTAACATTAGGCTTTTGTTATAAAAATATAAACACCATTAACAAGAATGGTTATTTGTTTTAATTAAAAAAATTATATCTTTCCTTATTTGTTTATTAAAAAAACGATAATCAAAAAAACGCTTTTTCGATGACTGATCAAGAAATTTACTTGTTTCCACGGCGACGGAATGTGTACAAGTTCTTTTCTTCTTCCTGGAGAACCTTGCGCTGTTGGTTGACTGTCTGTTGCATGTTGAGCTTCTGAATCATCGGGTTCTTTACAGCCTTCTTTGGAGCCTTTGCGTCTGCCTCGTTCAGCTTCTCTGTGACGATCTTTTCAGCCATTGCGATGATGGCGTCTGTGTGTCTCGCGACAATCTTAACCTGCATGGACATGATACCTTCTGCATCACCACCCTTAACGAGAACTTGTGCGACGAGGGAAGCGACAGCACCCTTGATGATTCTTGCTGCAGCGATGACCTTGAATTCTGCGTCTTCTTCGCCACCGTTGACGAGAATTTCTGCGCAAATGATAAGCAACTCAGCAGCCTCTGTCAAATCCTGAGCGACCTTGATCATACCTGCTTCGTTATCGATCTTTCCGAACTTGGCGATGAGCTGTGCAGTGATTTCTCTTGCACGGACGAGGATCTTTGCTGTAGCCTGGAAGATTGGCTGTGCAGAAGCGACAAGGAATGCTGGAAGAGTGCCTGCAGCTGCCTGGATGTCTGGGATTTCGTGTGTTTCATCAACTGGCTGAACGACATCGACTTGTTGAGCGAACTGGGAAAGTCTTGATGTCATGTCTTCGATAGCCTTTGATGTAGCAGCGAGTTCTCTTGTAACTTCATCCATTGACTCGTCTTCTGGAGCAGCGTTGACTTCGATCTTTGATGCATCGACGGCGACTCTCATTGATGAATCTGATGAGTTTCTCAATGAGTTGATTGCGTCTTCCATTTCTCTCTCGAAGTTAGGTGCTCTGAGCAATCTAGATCTCATTGCGTTCTGTAATGCAGTGATAGCATTAGAGAAGCCGTGCAATGTGGCCTGCTGTTCGACCTGTGATCTTGTATCTGCTGTTGCTCTTGCCATACCTAATGCCTTCTCCGCGAATGAGTTTGCGAGCTTTGTGAGTGTCAACAAAGCGTGGAGAAGTTCACCAGATGGAGTAAGGTTGGCATCAGTGACCTTCTTGAACTCAGTGATGCCTTGTTCGAGCTGTCTCTTTGCGAGATCCATTTCATCGAGAGCGTCTGTTGGAGAGATCGCTTTGTCTGGGAGTGGTGGCAACTCGTACTTCTCTGGGACTTTGGCGGCTGATGCTGGATCTGGTTCGATGATGATCCTGTCTGTGAGGAATGGAGAGATCTTTGTGATTCCCAAAAGTGTTGTTGAGATGTTCTTCAATGATGGGAAGAGTTTGTTTGAAGCAAATGGAGAAACGAAATTGAGTGTCTCTGATGCCTTCTGGATATCTGGAATTCCCTTTGTCAATGCGGAGAACTGTGTACCTAACTCTGTGCTGGATGCACCGACAGCCTTGCCTCTGACGGCAGAAACAGATGCTGTCAACTGGGAAATAGCGGCATTCAATGTGTCGACGATTTCACCACGTGTTCCGACCCACATTTCAGGAACCAAAGCGTTGGCTGAGAGAGCAGCAAGTCTGGCCAATTGGATGGCTGCTGTTGACAAGTCAGCGTACATTTGGTTACGTGTCTGGTCGAATTCGTTGATTTCGCCTGTTGGTCTCTGTGGAGATTCGACAATGTTGATCAAAGTATCGAACTGCTTTGACATCTTACGGTTGAGACGTCTGATGTCTGCAGAAAGATCTGTCTTTGATGTCGGGATCTTCTCAGCCAAAACAACAAACTCTACGAATATTGTCATCAATTCAGCGAAACACTCAACCAAAACACGAGACAAAGGTGTGAAAGCGAGGCCACCCAACATGAGGGAGTGCATTGTAAGGACTGTTGCATCTGCTGCACAAACCAACATCTTCTTGAGAGATACATAAACTTGTGGGAGCTGATCAGCCTTTGGAGTCTTTGCGAATGTCAACAAAAGGTTGACTTCATCGCGGAACAACTCAGCCTTGTCGTAAACGAAATCGCAGACAGTATCGGAGTCTCTGATTCCTTCCAACTGGTAGAACATTGATGGTTCTAAGTGTGCGAGTTTCTCAGAGAACTTCTGGATGAACGATACCAATGTATGGTCACTCTTTGACTGTGTGATTGACTTCAATAAGCTGGAAGCATCGATATCTTGTGGTGCAACCAATGACAAAGCAGCGAATTCAGAGAGTGCTTCGACAGCAGCAATTGAATCTTGGAGTGTTGCATCCTTTCCTTTCATTCTGAGGACGTTCAATGCGTTGATTACCTGTTGGATGATTGTTGCAGAGTACTTCTCGATTTCCTTCTGCTTCAGTTTGGAAATTGGTGCCAAAGCTCTGATCTGTGTTGCACAGGCGATGATCTTCATGTACTGTGCTTGTGCAGTGCCTCTTGCGTTCTCGAGGAGTTCTATGATTAGATCAACGAGTTCCTTGTGGAGTTTCTGGATGTGTGGAGAAACTGTCTTACCGTAAGAGTTCTCTGTGGCTGCGAGGGAAACAGAGAGAGATGTGAATGCTTCGAGGAATGCAGATCTGTCTGTTGTCGCTGAAGTGATGAGTTTCATGATGGCGTTGTTCATCTTCTTGAGGCCATCTGCGACTTCGACTGTCTGTACCTGTGTTGCATCGAACCACTGCATCAAAACAGATCTTGCATCAGAAGACTTTGAGCGTTTAAGTCTTCTGATGATGTACTTAGCGAATGATTTGACGAGTGTTGAGTGGATGTTATCAGCCATGGCATCGAACTTCTTGATCTCCTGTATGTCTGCTGGGATCTTGTAAGCGAGAACTGGCTGTGGCAACTGTGCAATTGATGCGAGCAAATCATTGAGATTTGTGATGAATTTCTGGAAGAATGTTGGAAGGTTCACTCTATCCTTGTTGTCTTCGCCTGATGCAATGGATTTGACAAGTGGCCAAATAACTTCTGTCGTTGACTTGAGAAAGTTAATTGATCCTGTGAGTGGTTCAGCGAGTGGTTGCTGCTTCTGCTGGAAGGAGTCAACTAACAAAGCCATTGTGAATGGAATAGACATGAAATAGAGTGCTGTGACATCAGCTCTGTCGACAAGTTGTTGAACAGACTGTGACAAAGCAATTGCACGTGTTGTGAATGAAATGATCGAGCAGACAAAAGCTTCTGCATTGGCAAAGTTCATCAATGATGCTAATTGGCTGGCCATTGATGGTAATCTTGTGTTTGCCTTTGCAAGAGCTGTTGAAGCGATCTTGAAGAGTGGGAATGATGGGGATTCAGCGTTTCTGTTGGAGAGATCAATGAACTGCTGTCCTGGCTGTGCGAAATTGTTCAATTGGTTGATTAATTTGACAATTCCATCAGCTTCAAATGACTGAAGAACAGGAGCAGAGCCCATGATTGTCTGGATTGTCTTGACAGCTTCTGTTGTGCTGGCAATGTACTGCTGCATTGACATTGTCTGGAAAATACCCATCGGGAAGGACAAAATTCCTTGGACAGTGTCCGCTCTTAAGTGAACTGTTGCAGATGTGGTAAGATAGAACTGGAGTAACCAGTTGGCGTATCTGTTACCTGCATGGGTGAGCTTCTCGCAGTGTTGCTGCATCTGGACTTTGATGTCTGGTTCAGTGCATGTTGATGCAAGTTTTGATAATGGAGATGGAAGGGAACCAAGCGCATCGAAGAAGAGCTGCTGCTGGTTAACGAAGTTTGGATCGGTTGGAATGAAGTCCAAAATGGTCTTCGATGTCTGAAGAACGTAATTAATCTCGCCAAGGTATTCATCGTTGAAGTATTCAAGGTTTGCATCGATAATGTTGATGAGTTGAAGCATTGCTTGACGTGACTCTGTGAATATGGACTTTGTGATGTCTGTAATCTTGAGGGCAAGAGTATTAAGAAGATCTTCAGCTTCTGTAAGGGATGGGAAGACGTAGCTTGCGAATCTTGCAATAGAAGCAATAACCTGGGCAGTCATTTCTGGATTCGAGGCACAAATACTTGTCATTGCGATAAGTGATGTGACAACATCCATATTCTGACCGTAACCGAATGGAGCGAAGAACTGGGCAAGGAGACTTGACTGCTTAAGCATTTCTTCGAGCGACTTGTTCTGAAGGAACGCTCCGGTAAAGTTCTTAATTACATCTGTAAGTTCTTTAAGCTTAAGCTTAACGACAAATAAGTTGAGAGTTTGTGCGAATGATACAATTGCCTTTGTGATGTCTGTGAACTCGACGGTGTTGTTCAATGGTTGTTGGAAAGCAGCAACAAATTTATAAAGTGGGAAAATGAAGGTTCCGAGGATTTGTGTGATATCGGCGGTAACCTTTGCCATATCGGATGAATGCTCGGCGATTGTGCCGCAAACGTTGAAGACTTGTTGACCCCATTTCATAAAAGCGTCGGCCTGGGCTTTGATATTTTCTACGGTAGATAAGAAAATGAGGTTAACAGCAAGCTGGTCGAAAGCGACATAAAAAGCAGCTAAAGCGTGGTAAAGTTCGAGTTTGGAATTATCGAGTTTTGGTGCTTTTGGAGCTTGTTGTTGCTCGTAAATTGTAAGATTCTGAACGATGGCGTTTGCATGATTCTCAACCCAGCTGACAGATTTCTGAACGTCCTGAAGAATCTGAGCAACGGATGGGGCAGAGCTTCCTCCAAGGGTTACCATTGTCTTTTCGAGAGTTAAGAAATAATCTTTTGCTTCATTAATACCTTTGATGATCTTATTTGCTTGTGGTAACTTCGGCTCGACCTTTTCGGCATATTGAAGTAATACTCCCCAAAGAGCTTGGATTTTTTGATAACTCGAATAAATAATAGGCTGGCCACCAGATGGTGTATATGGAATGTGATCTTGAATAACTTTAAGGAGTTGTGGAATATAAGATGCCAAAATGAGAGTTCTATTCGCTGTAAAACCATATGGAGACAGCACGAAAGAGACAGTATCTCTCGTAACTAAGTCCTCTGGCTTTGTTAATTTGAATTTGGATAAGGAGGTAATAAACTGAGTGTATCCTCTCATCCACAGATATTTTTATTTCTTCTTTTCTCATAAATTTTGAATCGAAAACGATTAACTTTTGTCTCAAAGTGAAGTGATTATATCCCATAATTCTTGATGGGATTATTCTATGATAATAGACTATCATAATTCGGAAAATGTAAAATGATATTTTTTTGATCAGCCTAGGAAATTTTACGTCTCACTCATGATTGGAGCAGTGTTTTAATTTATATCGAAGCAAACTATTTAATTCCAAGACTTGCTTTGCATCCACGAGTGCAAGGATATGGTCGTCTGGTTTTAAAAAATCATGACTTATGATTGATTTCATAATCCCTTTAAGCATAACCATACATTTTTTACCTTTTAACAAATGCATGGATGATGTGAAATATATACTTTTGATGTGAAAGACTAATTCTTATTATTCAAGATTTTTTGATTGAAATTATTTCCTAAATATCTGCGATAATAGGGTTATTAGTTGAAAAAAAATAAAATACTAAATACATACTGCACTTCTTGTATTTGCCCAATAAGAAAGGTCCCATAAAAAGTGGTTATCCCTGAAAAGTTGTCAAACCGCTATTTATCGAAATGATTTTATTGTATTTTAAGATCAAAATTATTTTTAGAACAATATTTTTCATATTTTTTATTTGAGATCATATTGAAAATTTTAATTGTAATCCAATCAATAAATTTCATTAAAGATAATATATACATCTAATCAAATATTTAAAATTATCATAAAATTAGTATTTCTCATTTTTTTAATTTTAATTATTCGAGGAAATTATTTTTGAGTAGGGGTAATTTTAGCTAAAAGTGACACGCCTGTAAAAGTGACACACTCGTGAAGGGTGTGATTACCGATCGGTAATTTCGACAGTTTAGAATTTAAAATTTTTTATGGAACTGTTGCGAGTTTCATAAAGAATTTAAGGAATATAAGCAAAGATTTGAATCAAAATCTTAGACCTAAGCCGCTCGATTCGCTCGCGGCTTCCGCGAATTACAGATCAGCAAAGATTTGAATCAAAATCTTCGAACTAAGCCGATCGCTTCGCTCGCGGCTTTCTTTATTATTTTAAATTTGCATATTTCCATCAAAAGTTCATAAGGTAAAAAATTTCGTTTATATTATTGCAAAATAAAATCTTCATTATCAAAATAATATTAAATAATAATATAATATAATTTATAAACAACTATTATTTAATAAAGTTTAATTGCCAAGGTTCATCTAATTTTTTGATTTTTAATGTTTTATGAATTTTATTTATTATGTATATATCTAATGAAGATTATATATGTAGAAGATAAGTACCTTAATATGTACGTAAAGTAGTAAGTTTTGACAATGAAAATAAGCTCTGTGACCATGTAAATATATATCTATGCAAAACGAGAGGTTATGCCATAATTTTTTTAGTTATCAAATTTTCCTTTTTTTGAGAGAAGTCTCTCAATAATTTGAGAAGAATCTTTGATATAAAGAGATACACATTTGTAGAACGAAGTAAGTGTTTTCCAAACATTTTATATGTTCATCCTGTATAACAATATAAAGCTGCATAGTGCCATCTTGTGCGTTTGCTATTTTATGCACTTTTCATTGAGATAATCCCTCTTCTCGGGTGATTTTAACAGTCAACTCAATTTTAAAATAAAGATTTCATCAAAATGATTTCGAAATTCGGATATTGATTATATAAATAGCACTGTTAACATATTTTGGATGAGTAAAAAATACCTTGTTTTGTATGCATTTAGTACACCTTTATTTTTGATTAAAACTATAAAATTTTTATTCCTTATATAATAAATAGTATATGTTACATAAACATGAAATTCAATAGCATTCAATTTTGGATTTTTTAGATTTGGTAAATTTTAGAAGAAATAAAATCAGCAATCAAAATAAAGAAACTTTTTTTGTATCTTCTATGATTACCTTTTGGTACTAAATTTTGCATTAATAAGTAAATTATCTGTATTATTCTGTGAGCACAAGCCCTCAGTTATGCTGGTAGTGAATGATGAATCGTCATTTTGCGAAGAGAACGCGATTATTAAGGTAATTTTGAGAATTGTCTTGAATTATTTAAAATTAAAGTTAATTGAATAGGTAGGATAACTAGCCTTTGCTAAATTTGTATAATTTGACCTTATTCTAGTTGGATCTGAGAATATTTTGCTGAAATAATAAATTATATCGCCGATTTATGAAAATTTCTCTGATGGGACCGACTCGCTGAAACGTATTAGTGTTAATGGTAACTTGTCTGAAATTTTCAAATTTTTTTCGAAATCCAAAAAATCACAAACAAAAGCATCAAAATTAGATTTGCATTTAAGGTTTTCATTTTTTTTGGAAAATAAAAATATTTTTCCCCAATAAAGTTTATTTTTACTTTTGAGAGGAATAGAAACGTTATTTTGGAATTTTGAAACGACAGAAATGTTCCATTTTTAATGTAGATTCTAAAATGGGGTCAAATTTTTGATTGAACCGTTATCCATTGAAAAACCTCGATTTTAAAATGTTATTCCAAAATATTCATCTAATGATATAGTATATATTTATTAATTATTACTTTTTATTCAATTTTCACTTTTGGCGGGATTTCATTTTTTTGTTGTTGTATGGGCCATATTGTTCACCAAAACGGAAAACAAAGGCAATGCATAACATTTTACTCCACGAACGTCGTCGACTCTCAGCGCGACAGATGCTTGGTGCTTGCATAATGACCGGAATGCCATATACAAAAGGTGCTCGCTTTCTTTCTCTTTGTGGAACTAAGCCCCCTGTGAAGAGTGGTGTCATGAGACAACAGAGATTTTGTGACGATAAGATTAGAAGACTTAAAAGTATTTCCCTAATGCTGTCGAGAAAGTCCTTCAGTGGTTACTTATCCATTGATGCAAGATGGACGCACAGGCGAAACTCGCCAAGTTGTACAGTAACTGCGCTCGATGCTGTCACAAAAAGAGTTCTTGCATGCGTGAACATCAACCATATTGGTGGAAACAGACAGCATGCTCAGTATTCCGGAGCTTCCAACAATATGGAAAGTGCTGGAACTCGAATCATCTTGAAGCAATTAAAGAAATACAATATCTTGAAAGATGTTAAAGAGATTATTAAAGACCGAGATAACAAAAGTGTCTCTGTCTTTAAAGAATTTGGCGTCTCTCATCTTGAAAGATTCGATCCAGGTCATGTATCAAAAAATATCTCAAAAGATTTTACAAAGTTCTCAGCTTCTCATAAGACAGTTGAAGTTTTCAACGACAAGACTCAGAAGATTGAAAAAATAGAGAGACCTTTCTGGGGTCTGAATGCAAGCCTAAGTATGTGGCTTTGGTCATGTTTTGCCGAAGAAAATATTGACAAACGTACGAAAATGTGGAGAATTGTGTCTACCATTACGTAGGCAATCATTCTTTTTGCGAACCGCACAATTACAAATGCTTTGAATGGCAAAAAGGTGTCAATTCGATCCAACTTCAATTCATGCTCTATGACTGGGTTCACAAATGGACACCCATAGTTTCCAAAGTTTCTTCCATTGGATCTACCTGCATGAATGAAGCGTTTAACTCCAAAATTGCATGCTATTTGGACAAATCAAGAGCCTGGAAGAACATTAACATTAGAGTTAACGTTGCAATCTTAGAATGGAATGATCCAGAGCATTTTCTCGGAGATATACAAAAAGCATTACATCTTCCCCACTTCCAGAAGATTGTGTCAAATCATTTGAAGAGAATTGTTACTCCAAAATGATATTGAAACAAAAAACTGTTACAAAAGGTTCTAAAAAACAGAACAAATACAAAAAATCCATTCAGAGTGTACCAGGAGGAGATTATCAAGTTTTCAAGTCCGAATGGGAATCAGAAGACGAAGACATTGATGACTTTGATTAACGAAAATTACATTTTATTTATTGTTTTTGTTTTTAATTAAATTATTATTATGCTCATTTTCTTATTTTGATTTTTTCTCATTATGATATAAATAATTTATTAATGCATTTATCCAATAATTATGCTATGATATTTTTATGCCTTATTTCATTTCTCTTATATTTGATAATCTGGTAAAATATAGTTCAGACTATAATCATTTTAGATTATTGATATATTTATATAGGTTAGAATAAAATTAGTTTCATTTTCTACTTTTATTTTGAATTAATAATTTATAATATCAAATATTATGGCGTAACCTCTCCTTTAAATAATATATATATATAGGCCTATAGAGTTTATTGGCACTCTCAAAACTCTAGAATTTTGAGTTTACTATACCCTTAATATGTACGTAAATTTTAATAAATTTATACAACATTAAAAATTTATGAATAAAAACTTGATATAAAATAAATTTTTATTTTTACTAAGAAAAAAAAAGGTTTTTGATAATAAATTTATTTTATTTCGAAAAAGTAACAATAATCGTAAAAGGGTATTGATGGGCTTGCTAAAGTAACTAATTTTAGCTGTCAAATACTTTTGTATTTTGAAGTAAATTAGTATAAATTTGCTTTTACTTTTATTTCGAAAAAGTAACAATAATCGTAAAAGGGTATTGATAGGCTTGCTAAAGTAACTAATTTTAGCTGTCAAATACTTTTGTATTTTGAAGTAAATTAGTATAAATTTGCTTTTACTTTTATTTCGAAAAAGTAACAATAATCGTAAAAGGGTATTGATAGGCTTGCTAAAGTAACTAATTTTAGCTGTCAAATACTTTTGTATTTTGAAGTAAATTAGTATAAATTTGATATTATTTTAACTCCCTTTGAAAACCTCAATTTTCCATACAGAGGGAACGGGAATAGCATCCAATATTCCCTGAGAATGGTTGCGCATTCTCAGTTCCCTCTATATTTCGAACGAAGCTCTCATCGGTCTTTTTTTTAATACTAAACGTTTTTTTCCCTGTCACTTTTAGCTAAAATTTGGGTTTGCCATTATTTTTTCGGGAGGGCAATTAACTATCG